CACAAAGTTGTGCTATACGAGCTTAAAAACCCTAAAATCGTGCATATTTGTGTTAGCGTTTTTAAAATTTATTAACTGTAACATCAAGGTACTCAGAAAACTTACGTCGATTAAATAATTCTCTCAAATAAACAGGTTTTTATTTTCACTGGAATAAACAGAATACTTTATCACTTTATTGCTTGTTTACGTAAAGAAGTAATACATCTGCATTCAAGGTTGTATAATTTCGTCATATCTAGAAGGGGAAAAAAGAAGTCCAAATAAGTGCATTCACATTATTAATAATATCTAACGTGAGCGGCCTCTATGTAGTTTTAGTTTCTTATACGAACCGACAGAGAAAACAAAAAATGGGGCATGCATAAAAAAGAAACTAATCAGAAATGGATAAAAAAATCAAAGAACCGATTATGCATTGAAACATCCGCGGTTTAATAGTTTTTTTATTATTTGTTACGGTTTTCTAACCTGTTTCTATAGGTTCAAGTTTAATTGGCGAGAGATACCTTGATTACGAACTGTAATAAAAAGTAAAAATCAAGCATCTGACGACTAAAAACTTGATCTAGCTAGAAACTACATTTTTTTTAATATAGATTATTTTATTAACTTTTACCTTGCCCTACTAGTATTTTTTCTTGATATTGCTGTTTGAATGACAATTACTAGATACTCCTGCTTGCAAAGACGCACAGTGTAGCATTGGAACAATCTTGAATAGAGTTGTTTAATAGAAAAATATCGGATAGTGCTTATTTCGTCGGAAAACTCCAAACTGAGACATTATAGTGTTAACGAAAAATATTATGTCCCGTGAAAAGCTAAAAAAAATCGAACTTTCGCTAACCCAGAGTAAAAACAACACAAAAGTTGGAGTTTATTTTATAAGAAGACGTCATGGCCTTATAGATGTTGGGATTTTGTTTGAGAAATCTTATTTTTAAAGCTCTTCTTTGTTTACAATATAACCGAAGATAAATAAAACAGTAAAATCGAAGCTAGCCAAAATTTTGATAGCAGATTATGAAATAATGATAAATGGATAAAAATATTTTGAAAGTCTTACATCAAGGGCATTTTTGTATTGAAATATGAAGAAAAACCTTTTTTTAAAAAAATTTGAAAAAAAAACATGGGCTATAACTGAAATATGAAATATGATTTTTTGGGGTAAAACGGAAAAATGTTCTTTTTTGACGCAAAATTATACATTGTTTAACAAAACAACTCTATTCAATTATTTACCAGCTGCC